GAGAAAGAATCGTCCCTTCATTCGTGGCAATTCACATAAAGTCACAATCGTTGACAAAACAAATGCTACACAGGCTTAAATTTAGCATCCTCACCAAGCATATACTATATGCTAGTTCTTAAAACTCGAAAACAACCCGCTCAGACGGCGTGCACTTCTGCACCTCTCCAGGTAGACAATTATTTGACACCTTTTTCGCTGGATAGAGCGATTTTTTTTACTTCTAGTAATTACTCAACAGCTTAAATCACAGCAACGCTGAGCTTGTTCTGAAAACACCTTACTGCGTTGTAGCAGTGAAAAAAGATTGCGTTTCACACTCCGCACGCATTTTTCGTCAAGCTAGGGTCTGTGGATGGCTTTGTATCAAAATTGTTGATTAAATGTGCAAAATGGGCGTCAGCAGTGTAACGGATAGAGCACGCTTCCAGAAAGACTGAGGTGCAAGTTCTAGTCTAGCCCGGCGCTAAAATTTGCCATCACTCTGTAACACTGGGTTTGTTAAATAATTGACAGTATAAATCCTAGTGATTTTGAAGCTAGATATTTTGAAAATGTCTTCATAAGTAAGAGCGTTGCAAGAGCAAACAGAAAATCACGTTTCACCTTCATAGTTTTACCTATGAGATGCAATGCTTTTTTGCTAGTTCCCCGCGCTAGGCACCAGGAATGTGGGTGCTTTCTTGCTAGTTCCCCGCTGTATTGTGCCAGGCGTGTAGAGAAAAATATGAAGCACCGGAGCACACCGAAAGTCTTGAAATCTTTCAGAACGAAAAAAAGCTCTGATTGAGTAACAAAAATTACGCACCACTTGCGAATCGCGCTGCGTGACCGAGCAACTGCCGTCCCGACCCGGTGGGTTAATCGAAAGTCCTATTCTCGCTCTAGAGCCACAAAAATCGTTAGTTCTCAAAGAAGCTTGTGCGGTACTTCAACAGACAAATCGGACATATCCATAGTCATAAAAAGCCTCCAGATCGCTCTGATTAGATAGAACGACGACGTGATGAGGCCCTCCAATAGGCCGGCGTTTTCAAAAAGGATGCCCACTAGAGCTATGCATGAGTTGTGAGAGCTACAACTAGTTGAGGCTAGTTCTGAGGCTGAGTCAAATGACAGGTTATTTGAATAATCATAGTCAGGCAGAGCGAGATTCAAACCAGAACCAATAACATTTCCAACTTTTCATGCAGTCAAATGACCGAATAACTACTAACAGGCAGCAAAAACCGGTTCTAGATCATAAATATTACGCAAATGAACTCAAATGATGAGGCATGGCTTTCAACAGACGAGCTGAAACGTTGAAAAACTCGAGTTATTGTTGACGATGACTAATAACGCATTCACACACTTAGACACACTTAGATGGTCCGTCTTCACTAGTTGTGCAGACCCCAGCACATATTCCAAACGGTATAGTGCTGCTCGTGCATATGATATTCCTTGGTTTCCTGAAATGACCTTGTGAAGGCGTTTTCAGGTCTTCACGATGTCGTTTCCAAGGAAAGGATTTCGGCAATGGATCCTTGGTTGGGCTTCCTACTTGTTGATTCAGAGATGGTGTTAGGCCGAAACCAGAAGCAGAAGTATGGAAGACAATCAACCGCCCGCTCACGGATGATGTCAAATACGAAATATTGTATACAGAGGGGAAAAGAAGGAAAAAGCTCTCAGCGTTCACCCTGGAAAGATGAAAGGCTTGTGAGCTTCGGAAGCGGTATCAAACTATCAACCGCGTATGGGTGTGGCAGGACATCTCTGACCACTGCAGAAGACCTCCTTATTTGATGTTATGAATAGAAAATCTGTGGAATCTCCTAGATGAATCTCATCTACACGACTGTTGGTGGTCTTCCACCGACCCGTTGGCCAGATTTCTTCACGAAAGCTGTAGAAGAGAGATATGATGCTCAGCGAATCCCCATAGAGAGGAGGACCCACTGGGCTACTCTTGCACGCGATAAGGAAAAATGGAAGTGTTGCTGGTACCAGTTCGAGTCACTCAACGATCAACGGGACGACAGGTGACAGGTGGCACGACTGTTTCGCATGAAACAGAGAAATCAGCCCGCGATTGCTCATAAAGGAAAAGCCGAACAGAAGCACCCCACGTCCAGGCGTTGCCTCATCGCGGCGCCAGTCAGAAAATATCTGCATCCATAAAATTCGATCCGGAAAGCTTTTTGTGCACATCTGAAGCACCGAAAAGGTTGGATCAGTTCTAGGTATCTTGAAGAACTTAGAGTCAGATGCGAAACTTTCCTCAAGAAAAAAAAGAGGCTTTGAAATCAATCATGCCATTCTACGATGTTATCTGATAGAGCGGGATTTTGCTTGCCATAATGAGTCTCCAGAAAGAAAGCTGGGTAATCAAATACGTACTTATTAGGGGGGAATCATCTGTATCACTTGTCGTCCCGTTGATCGTCGAGTGACTCGAGCGGGTACCAGCAACACTTCCCTTTTTCCCTATCGCGTGCAAGAGTAGCCCAATGGGTCCTCCTCGCTATAGGGATTCGCTGAGCGTCATATCTTTCTTCTGATCTTTTCGTGAAGAAATCGGACCAAGGGGTCGGTGGTCTTCATGCAGAATCTCAGAACTCCCTCTTTGAGGGATCTCGCCCGAGTAATCGCGAGGGCACCTGGCGCGTCCCCAGGTGGTTTCATTGATCTTATCTCCTCAAAGGGGAATAGGTTGACTAATTCATCTACAGTCAAAATCTTATTCAATCCACTGAGGAACCCATGATTATAGAACTATTTTGATGGTCTAAACTGCCATCAAAAATGGAAAAAGCTAATAAGATACGAAAGACCTATGGGAGAGGGTTGAAGACATAACGATAGCGATTGGCCATTAGATAACGGGATTCACAAAGAATATTATGAATCGATTAATAAATAGAGATGAACGATAAAAATGTAGATCGAGATGAATTAATAAGGACCGTTGAAGATTAGTGAATAGAGAGATCAAAACAGACCATTAAAGAGAGAAGAACGATTGAAGATGCCTGATAATCATTTTTTGAGCCACGCATGTCAATGGCCTAACAATGAGGGCTGACTCATAAAGCCCGATACACATGTTTCGATCTTGCAACCTCGTCACTCGGGCAGTCACCCTTCCTCGTCTTTTGCCAATCCTGTGTGGGTGCTTCAGTCCCCTCACTAAGAGTTAGCGACACGAACGTTTTACACTCTATGTCCAGTGAGAATCTCACCAAATACAGCGTGTTGTGCACTCGATTGCTTGTGGCTAGTCGCTAACTCTTAGTGTGGGGACTGGAGCACCCACACAGGATTGGCAAAAGACGAGGAAGGGTAACTGCCCGACTGACGAGATCGCAAGATCGAAACACGTGTATCGGGCTCTATAATAAGTCAGCCCTCTTTGGTAGATCACTGACATGAGTGGCTCAAAAATGATTACCAGGCATATTGAAATTTGAGCTGTGGTCTCAAGAAAGCACTCGAAACGAAAGAAAAGATTGAAGATTAAAGAGGCAAGAGATCAAAGAAGATTAGTAGAGAACAACTAGTAGATAAGAAGGGAGATCAAAATAAATCGATTGAGAGCGCGAAAAAATTATCGATCAAATAGGAAACGGAACAAAGCAGGTCGATAAAGAGGGGAAAGATTAGTGATTAGGGAAAAGAAAGAAGATCACAGTATATCAGTAAAACGAGGAGAAATCGGTAGAGAGAGAGATCAAAGCAAATCGATAGAGAGGAGAAAGATTAGCAATAGAAAAAAAGATCAAAGTAGATCGATAAAGGGGGGAAAAAACTTAGTGAATAAGGACGTAGATCAAAGCGGATCAGCATGGAGCGTGGAGAGACTAACGAATAAAGAGAGCAGGGACTGGACTAGTTAAATTAGAAGACGAAAACAACTAGTATACAAAAAAGGAGATCAAAATAAATCGATCAACGGAAGAAACTGTGTTAAACGGAGAGGTAAGCCAGAGCAGATCAAAGTGTATCAATATAGAGAGAGGATAGATTGGTAGGGAGAGGGGACGTCAAAGAAAGTCAATGAAAAGCGTGGGAAAATCAAAGCAAATCAATAAAAAGCGTGGGAAAATTCGTAAACAGAGAGGGAAGAGATCAAAGCAGATCGACAAAAAGGAGAAAGAGTTCAAAAATAGAGAGAGAAAAGATCACGGTAGATCACTGAAAGAAGAACAGCAGGTGGTGGATGAGGAGGGAGATCATAGCAAATCAATCAATGCTATCGATGAGAAAATCAATCGATGAGGAGAGAAATAGTGTTAAGTAGAAGGAGGGGCGAAAGCAGATCAAAGTGGGATCGATAAAAAACCACAGGACACTCTTTACAGTAGAGTGAGAGCAACAATCAGTGATACGAGTAATGAACCGACCAACGCCGCCCACTCATGTGCAAGGATGCTTTCAGAAAGCTAAAGCTGCGCGTTTGTTCTGGTGTGTTGACCGCAGTTGCGGATAGCCACGTTACAGTATGCGGGAGTGGCCTACGCTCTTCGAATATTTATTCAGTACTTTTATTCGTACAGTGTGATATTGATCGGTTCACGTGCGATTTATTGATTTTCACACCGATATTGATTGATATCGATTGAGTTCTACGCGATGCGATCCTCTATACTGGTCAAGAAGGGTGTTTTGGTGCCGAAATTTACATTTATTGGTAGAAATTTTTTCATTCCATTTCGATTATTTTCATTTTTTTGGGTTATTTTTCTCCTTCCTTTTCTTTTTCTTCCACTTCTCTTTCTTTGCCGTTATATCCGTTCTGATCATAGTATTGAAATCAGTCCTTAAAAGCCTAATAGCTTTTGAATAGTGTTTTGAAGGCCATTATGAGTTGGCGGGAATTCTCCGGACTCTCTCGTTTTTGTTGACTATTTTCCATCCAATAATCGGTTTCATCTCTTCTAAAAGAACTGAGTGGTGAGCAAAAATACGACCTCAGGCGGGAGTCGAACTCGCGAACCCCGTGGTGGCACAAATGTACCTCGGTGGTGTAGTGGTAGCACGCGTCCCCGGTATGTATGGATGAAACGTGGGTTCGACTCCCGCCTGAGGTCGTGTTTTTGCTCACCACTCAATTCTCTTAGGAATGTATTTTCCATGTATTTAAGCTTTTGTTTTTACTATTGTTTAGAGCAGCTTCTTGCGGTTGTTTTCGTATATAACACTTATACATTTGTTTTGAGATGGAACTGTCACGAAGGCAAAAACGATTGTTGACGTAACATTAGTAACGTTGATTGCTAAACCAGCACTTGGACCCAAACGGTACTTGTGTGGCATCAACAATCGCTTTTGCCCTCGGGATAATTAAATCTTAAAACAATTGTATCACCTGTCGTCCCGATGATCGTCGAGTGACTCGAGCGGGTACCAGCAACTCTTCCATTTTTCCCTATCGCGTGCAAGAGTAGCCCAGTGGGTCCTCCTCGCTCTAGGGATTCGCTGCGCATCATATCTTTCTTCTAACTTTCGTGAAGAAATCGGACCAACGGGTCAGTGGTCTTCCTTTAGAGCGCTTGATGTCCCGAGGAATTCAGTCGGTAACGGCTCTCGTTTATCGGTTTTCGTTGAAGCGCACCACGTGTCCGGCCCCACCTTAATTTGGTTGGCCTGATATGTAGAAAAAACATTCATAAATTTAGCATATCAGACGACAGCGATGGACGAGAGCCGTTACCGACTGGATTCCGCGGGACATCAAGCGCTCTACAGGAAAGACCACCGACCCGTTGGTCCGATTTCTTCACGAAAGCGATAGAAGAAAGATATGATGCTCAGCGAATCCCCCAGAGCGAGGAGGACCCACTGGGCTACTCTTGCACGCGATAGGGAAAAATGGAAGGGTTGCTGGTACCCGCTCGAGTCACTCGACGATCAACGGGGCGACAGGTGATACAGGTGATCATGTCAAAATAACCGCAAGAAGCTGCTCTAAGAGCTAGTAAAATGGAAACTAATGCATGAAATATAATCAAGACGAGAACATCGGGAAAATTTCTTGTCAGCTCAGTAAATACCGTTCCGTTTGTATCGAGTTTGTACGCGTGGTCGTGAAATGCTCAGCGAAAATTGAATAGTGCAAGTTTTTTATAAGTTTTCTTAACAAAATAGTCGAGTCGAAATTAAAAGTATAAGGGGATAAAACTCTCGGTTGTAATTGATCCATGAGATGTGCCATATGCAATCAACTCCATAGGTTTTGGAGTGATTGGATGCCTATCTGACCTTTATAATGATCCTGGTGACTGATCGATGAATTCAGTCAATGCCGCTAACGTCACAGATCAATCGGATCCCAATTTAATAACCCCGGAGGGATGACAGATTGGGTGAGCTATCAGCATGGATATTCTAGCACGTCAATCGGGTCCCAATCTAATGAACCCGGAGGGATGAAAGATTGGGTGAGCTATCTGCATGGATATCCTCGCAGGTCAGTCGGGTCCCAATTTAATGACCCCGGAGGGATGAACGGTTGGTGAGCCATCAACATCGGTCAAACCATTGACCACCTATGCGTCGCTAGGCACCTCTAACTACTGCGCCACTCGCGCAGATTCAATTAGCTTAACTTATCTGTTCCTGTTTTTTTGCGTATCTTTAACTCTTGAAAAATTGTATTGTTCGTGGAGTTATAGTTCATACCTGATCATTTACCTTTTATCGGCAGTTTTGAGAATCACCAGACGAGGGCTCTTAAAAAGTCGAACGAAATAAATCGACTAACGCATGTTTTGTGTAAGCGTAAGCCTAAGAAGCTAGCCGATAAGAATCAATCGATATCACCTACAAGATTCTTTTTATCTAACTGTTTTTATAGCAGTACTACCACGTCACGACTATCTATCTAGGAATGTTGAGTGAGAGGTGAACTTTGAGGACCTTAGACGAGAGTTGAACCACGTCTAACCTTTCCAGGGATCGCGTGCTAACCACTGCACTATGGGGGCTCCTGTTCTGCTATCGCTTCCAGAAAAGGTGGGACGCAGGTTCGAGTCCAGCCCGAAGTTCAAAGCTTTCAAAATCACTAAATCGATTTCGTTTGCTTTTGTTTTTCTTTCCAAAGTAAGATCTGAGGTCAGTTGTAGTGGGTTCGAAGTTTATCGAGACTGTCTTGGAGCCAGTTATTTCTTAATATCTAGAGTGATGAGTGATTTGTAAAACCTTTGACCCCTGGCGGGAGTTGAACCCGCGTCGAACCCCAGAACGGGAACCTGTGACCACTATGCAAGTGGAACCATCTCTCCTCTACCACCCTTTCTTCGTCTCCTGATAGTCTGAAAATACTGAATTTTTGAAAACGGTGATGCAGCACAGTTTTTTATGTGATCCATCGGAACATCGGTGTTCAAAGGAGACAACTTTGAAATTATGAAAACTGTATACATAGAAGTTGCTTAAGTCGAATTATACACTTTTGAAGATGAAGGGTGTGAAGCAGTGGTTAGATGTGCTCTGCGCGAACATGTAGACGGTTCGATCCCTTGCGCCATGGCTCGCGAACACCATACCATCCCTCCGAGGTCGGCGAATAAGTACCAGAGTTCTCTGGGAAGATAGCAACACTGACTTGGTACGTCACTAGGCCACTGCGAGTCATTATAGAGACCAGATATGCATTCGATAGCCTCAAACGATGCTGTGATGAAATCGAATGCATGGCGCATCCCTAAGGGCTTGATCAACGCCGAGAGCTTTATCCTTCATTGATTCCAAAAAAAACGCGTTCAATGATTATCAATGTTAAGCTGGGGATTGGAGCACCCACACAGGATTGACAAAAGACGAGAAAGGGTAACTGCCCGACTGACGAGATCGCAAGATCGAAACAGTGTATCGGGCTCTATAAGTCAGCCCTCTTTGATAGACCACTGACATGCGTGGCTCAAAAAATAATTGCCACGCATATTGGAAAATGTTGAAGCTATTAAGTGATTCTATGAGTTTTGGCGCCAGAGCAGTAAGCACCAGATTAAAATTGCATGACTTTAGTATGATCAAATTGTACATTTTCTCAACCTTAATAGTATTTTTTTACTCGATAATGATAGTATTTTTAGTGCATTTCGCACTTTCATGATGTTTTAAATATTACTGAGAGGATTGAGTGGTGAGCAAAAACGCTGCCTCAGGCGGGAATCGAACCCACGTTTCACATTGAGATGTTGAAGAATGAGTGGTCGGGCGAATGTGCCTCAGTGGTGTAGTGGTAGAGCACGCGTCCCCGGATAGAATGAAACGTGGGTTCGACTCCCGCCTAAGGCCGCGTTTTTGTACATTTTCTTGCAAACATTTTGGTATATAACTTGCCTATACTTGTTCCATGATGGAGCTGTCTTGGAAACAAATCCGTTTGCTACTCATGCACGATTGTTGCGTAGGGGAAAATGCTAGTGAAGCGGCGCGCAGGATTTAAGAACTTGGACGATGAAACGGTTGCAAAACGAACGGCTAGAAAGTGGTTTGCGAACTTCATGCTGGAGAGAACAATCAGGAGGATCAGTTGCGTTCGGACCGTCTCATCTCACAGGAAGCTCATCAGTCTTCCGCGCCGCTTCTTAAGCCTTTTCCCCCTACGCGCCATTAGTACATGAGTAGGAAGGGAACTTGTTCCCACGACAGCTTCATCGTGGAACAATTGTAGGCTATAGTATACTAAGATGTTCGCAAGAAAATGTGCAATTGGACGATAGCGAAACATGCAATTTTAATCACTTTTGGTTGATAAATTTGGTGTTCATTGTTCTAGTGCCAGAACCTCTGGAACGACGTAATGTATTCAATTGTTCGTTGTGATAAGAGTATGACTCTGTGATCTTCGGGAGAACAGAAGTGGATGGTCGTCTTTTTTCAGGCTTATGTCAGATGAATTCTCTTCATTATCTGGCTTCGACTATACAATTGATAAGACATGGGATGGACTACCAGTGGATCATGATCCGATTCACGTGAAAATGAAATGGCATTTTGCTAAACAAAGAGGAAAACCTCACAAAAGGGTGATTAAGATCAACTTTGAGGTAATCTTCTTACAGTTATCTTCACTTCCGATTATAGAGTTATGCGTAGAATGTGTTGTTTAGGCTCCCTTATTTGATGATCCTGAAGCTCCTCCCGATCCTCCAGGGATCCTTCCAGGGGTACGTATTGCGACACTCAAAGTAGATCATATTTCTCTCTTGTAATTTTATGAAGCACTGAATTTCTCATCTAATTCAGCTTTTTATATACTGAAACTTTAAGCTATGGGAATACGAAGTGGTCGAGTTCTTTTTTGCAAATAATCGCGACCAGTACATTGAAGTCGAAGTTGGACCGCACGGTCACTGGCTGTGTATGCTTTTTGATGGGATTCGGAAACCATTTAATTCAGGCAAATTTTTTATTTTCATTTGTTCTCGTCTTGAAGATAAGCACTTCAAAGTCGGTCACAGGTCCGACTTGATTTCAGTCTTTTCAATATTCACTGTTTTTTCGATGGACAACCATGAGGCTGTTATTACAGCAATTATCAATCTAACGCTGTCGTTCCGGTACATTAGCCTTTTTCAGATCTTGTAAAACGTGCAACATAGTACACAATTTGATAGCCCGAAAGATCGACTTTCTGTTAACCTCGGCATCGAAGTCAATTTTTCAAGTGTGAAAAACCCAGCTGTTTCAGCTGGCACGAGGTTGGTAGGCGGCGGTATTGTAGGTCAAACGCATTGTGCCTCATTGGCTAGAGGAGTCTTGCGGCACACAAGTGGTTGACACTGCGATCCTCGCGTCCAGGGCTCACTAAACCTATTTTTCCGGGGTCGCTAAATTTATTACTGAGTTGCCTGGGTGGAAAGCAGCACTGATTTGACACACCCGGTAGGCCACGTCGAGTCATTGTGTGGCCGTATATGCTTTCAACTGCCTCAAACGATGCTTGATGATGTCGAATGCATGGCGCATCCTTCAGCGATTGGTCAACACTCAGTGCTTTAGAGCTTCAGCTTGTCACATAGGACAACCTTCTCTGAAACGCTCACCGTTACTGGAAACCGGCCGCACAGACTTCAACATG